GATCTCGTCGTGCACTCTCCGCCACTGTGGCGCGACGCTCGATGAACTAACGATGGAACTTCGGTGGCTGTCTCTCTCCGGCGATACATATTTACCCTTGAGATTAATAGCTCAGGTGGAATTATTTCGATCACTGTCGCGTTATACACTTGGACTAAATGATATGTCCAATTTTGGTGGTGCTGATATTCTAGTTGGTTTGAGGAAGAGGAGTGTTTGCTTGTGATTAACTTTGGATTTCATATTTCGTACCTCAGGGCCCCCGGTTTCGGTCAGTCCATTCAAGGAGTTTACCTGGGATAGGGGCGGCGATAGTGACTACCACAGGATTTAATTCACGCAAGTTTATCGACTATCGGTTCCTTGATGCAAAGATATACAACTGAGTGCCCGCGCTGGAAGCAACGTTTAAAATGCTTTTGAGATCGCTTGAAAAACGTTGCGACCGAATGTTCGATAGGACTGACTGACTGAGAAACGATGAGTTTGCTGTGCGACGATTGCCGATTATCTTTTGTTGAAATCCGCGCCGTAATAAGGAAAGAAACACGAACTCCTCCTCGTATGCATTGTTTCCAAGGCGACGATACCGTGGATGAAAATATCATATGTAATATGTACATTGTGTAAGTTTTTTTATAACGCAGATGTACGTAATTCAGTACTCAAAAATTTAGTACGAATAGAAAATAAAATTAGGAGCTCCCAGTGTATCCGTGTAAAATCTTAGAGGATTTCGTTGGAACAGCAGAGGACCTAAGGGTGTATCGGATAAAGGGAATGTTGTTGAGGACTTGTTCTGTATTTTAAAATATATCCAGTAATAAATCTTCACTTTGAGTTGTTGAGGCGACGCGCTCAGTGGATGCCGGATATAACCGGCGCTAGTCGCGAAAGGGTTAATGTAGAAGGCCACGCGAAAAGAGTCTGCTTCCTATTTGAGCTTTTATTGCCCCGCCGTTCGTTTCTTGAGCTTTTATCAGAAACGTTCGCGATTCTATAATATTCTACCTTCTCTCTCCGTGCTTGATGACCCTAACTTTCCTATTTCGAATTAAAAAGAAGTGAAATATCGAAAGATGGTAATGACTCTAACTCTTCCATTTCGAATTAAAAAGAAATGAAATATCGAAAGATGGAAATGACCCTAACTCTGCCACTTGGAATTAAGAAAAAATGAAATATCGAAAGATGGAAATGACCCTAACTCTTCCACTTGGAATTAAGAAAAAATGAAATATCGAAAGATGGAAATGACCCTAACTCTTCCACTTGGAATTAAGAAAAACTGAAATATTGAAAGATGTCAAGGACCCTAACTCTTCCATTTCGAATTAAAAAGAAATGAAATATCGAAAGATGGAAATGACCCTAACTCTTCCACTTGGAATTAAGAAAAAATGAAATATTAAAAGATGTCAAGGACCCAAATTTTTCCACTTGGAATTAAGAAAAAATGAAATATTGAAAAATGTTAAGGACCCTAACTCTTCCACTTGGAATTAAAAAGAAATGAAATATCGAAAGATGGAAATGACCCTAACTCTTCCATTTCCACGGACATTCATGAATAGTGAAATTAGAAAAAGAATGAAATATTAAAAGATGTTACAAAGGAGGTTGAGAAATTTGGGGTTGAGGTGTAACGGAGGTTGAAAAATTTTTAAAAGAAACGAAACCGTGGCAAGAAACAGGCGAGAGAAGATTACCCGCATCCGGTTTCCAGGGGAGCACACGCTGTTGGACAATCGCGGATAAATGGACTGGAAGAATTAGAGGATCGACTGGTAACGATAGTCTGCTATCAAAGACAAAAACTCGCTTTTGGTCGCGATCGATGCGCCAACGAAACAACGCTATTTTTCACGAACAATAGGGTTGTTAAACGCAGTTGGAAAGATTCATCTTATAAGTTCGTGTCGAATTTTATAATTTAGATCAATTTTTCCAACAAATACAACTATGTAATTAAATAGAAGATACCAACCAAAAGTTAATTAAAAATTTATCAAAGTCAAGGTTTCAACTGCCTTTAAATACAGAAACTTTAGTTGCCTTAGTTTCACTTTTGTAAAGAAATGTAACCTGCAGATCTAGAGATTTGTTATCTTATTATATTGTATTATATTATATTAGAGTATATATATATTATAGTACACTATAATAGAGATAACAAATATTATTATAGGATAAACTCGTATTATAGTAAACCTAAAAACTACTCCCTTAAGAGCATAATGTAACTTTAGCTCCTGTAGACTTACACGTTTACTCACGTATGTAAAACATTAAGATTTCCTAAATGAAAAAGAAAATTTCCAAAAAATCTTTAAATGTGATAAAAAAAAAAAGAAAAAGGACGTAAGCTCCTTCTAGTTCCACAAATTTTCTCATTTTTTTATTAAGACCATTACGTCGTCGCTATAAAATTTCCCCGAATTTCCATTGAAATATTTCACGCTTTCGACGCGAACTTACGGGATGACTTAATACACGACGATCTCCAGTTATTTCCTGCATCGTCTATTTTCGTACTCTAACACTATGTACAATCTTCTCGAAGAATTACATTTATACTCTAGCAATACCGCTATGCACCGAAGCTCCAGCCCATTGAAAGAAAGAAAGAAAAAAAAAAAAACGTCCATTCAGTGCAAGCGATGTCGATTCACTCGATAGCAAAGATGGCAAAGAGTATCCGTAGGCAGGAGGAGGAGTATTGCGTCGTAATCGATGTCCTCGAGCGAGAAACGCAAGAGTTTCTCCCCGAAAATTACGTCGGCAAGTGTCACGTGTGTGTACGCTTCCGTGAAACCAATAAGGGAGAGTGAATCCTGCGATCCATCATCCGTTTAGATTACCAACTGGGTGGATCCAGTTTCGTCGTTCGTCGTAGATTCGTGTTATTTTTTCGTCTGCTCTTTATTATTACATTCTTGCCGGGATGACGAAAGTCCGGCAACTGTCTTTTGTTCCCTGGAACTTTGCCGAAATAAAATTGTCCGTGATAGATGATGTTGTAGATAAATGGAAGAGCAATAGGAGTTGTATACTGTAATTGAGCTAAAGTATTCTAAGAAATCTCTTTAATTTTTACATTAGTTTCGCTTGTTTTCCTACTTACCCGACTAGAATTTCAGTTAGGCATACCTAAAGACGAATGTGGGTCTAATGCGGAAACGATTAGGCACACCTAAATGCTGCAAGCCTAATCGTTACCGCATTAGGTCCTAATTCGGAAGGAATGATGCACGCTTAGGTTAGGCATTCCTAATAGTTGCCATACGTGGCCTAAATGGGGGTGGCCGAGCGCACGCCTAAGTTAGGCATTCCTAACAGTTGGCATACGTGGCCCAAATGGGGGTGGCCAAGCGCATGCCTAAGTTAGGCTTTCATAACAGTTGCCATACGTGGCCCAAATGGGGTGGCCGAGCGCACGCTTAGGTTGGGCATTCCTAATAGTTGCCATAGGTGGCCCAAATAGGGGTGGCCGAGTGCACACCTAAGTTAGGCATTCCTAACAGTTGCCATACGTGGTCTAAATGAGGGTGGCCGAGCGCACGCCTAAGTTGGACATTCTTAATAATTGCCATACGTGGCCCAAATAAGGGTGTCGGAGCGCACGCTTAGGTTGGGCATTCCTAACAGTTGCCATACGAGGCTGAAATGGGGATGGCTTTGAAACTTGGAAACTAGGAATATTTACAGACATCTCAGTGTCGGACGTACGCTTGCGTGTAGCAGTTAGGTCGCCATAAGAGAACTTTTACAATTTAATCCATACAGTGTCTTGGTGGCCCAAATAGGGGTGGCCGAGCGCACACCTAAGTTAGGCATTCCTAACAGTTGCCATACGTGGTCTAAATGAGGGTGGCCGAGCGCACGCCTAAGTTGGACATTCTTAATAATTGCCATACGTGGCCCAAATAAGGGTGTCGGAGCGCACGCTTAGGTTGGGCATTCCTAATAGTTGCCATAGGTGGCCCAAATAGGGGTGGCCGAGTGCACACCTAAGTTAGGCATTCCTAACAGTTGCCATACGTGGTCTAATGCGGACCTAATATCTGCCTAACTGAAATTCTAGTCGGGTATATTCATCCTAACATGCATGTTTATGTTTAAGACAGCCTTAACGTTAACAAAGACAGACTTTGATTTGAAGAAATCTGTTTATTTGTTGCACTGCATTCGCTCTTTTACACTCGCACACTTATCTCAAAATCCACGTGAATCTTTTTTATTTTTATTCAAGATAGATTAGAAATAGAAAACTGGAGTTTGATCTATACCTTGTTCCCCGAAACTCCCCCGATATAAAATTATCTGCGATGAGTGATATTGTAAATAAATGAAAGACCAACAGCACTTGTATGCTGTAATTGATCCTAAGTGTTCTAAGAAATCTTTTTATTCTTTGCATTATAACTTTAATTCAGCGAAATTCGTTTAAGAAATCTTTATTCGTTGCACTACATTCGCTCTTTTGCACTCGCACATTCACCTCTTTCACGCTCACATACATTCATCTGAAAATCACGTCAATCTTTTACCACATATACCGTGTTTCCACGTGCTCATTCAAAACAGCCTAATGTCGTCGGAAAAACCATAAAACACTTGTCGTTGTCGCCTAAAAATCAAGCTTGCCTAACCACGAAAACGTTCACTCGAATAGACATAGTCGCCGACAGATTAACGCCTCCAAATGTCTCCAGAAATATTCCAAGCTCCAATTTAAGAAAGCGTCACAGTCTCAAAGAAGATCTGTTTGCGACAGACGTATTGATCAAGTGTGTGGATGCGTTTCTGTTTCAGAAAGCGCGTACGAAGATGAGGAGCAAGGCGCCAGGGGCGCGAGGTCCCCTGGTGAAAGCGGTGTCGACGAAGAAATCGGTGCTCCAGACGAGGACTGCATAGACTTACCTTTGAGGATGGGTGGGAACTCGGCCGGGGACAAGAACTGGGACGTTCTTCTGCGGGGCAGCGGGCAACGCGTGAGCTTTGACCCCGAAGCGCCACCGCTGCCGCCCCAAACCGCGAAGAAGATCAATGAGAAAGTCAAGGTAGGTCTTCTCCGTGCATCTCGACCTCCAGATACGTATCGCCCCCTGAAAAATTTCAATCGGTCAAACTCTCGTCGATCGCGAAAGTTAAGTTATCGTTCTGTTACACCCTCAAATATTTTCCTTCTTAGCCCTCAGTTTATCTGTATTCGCAACTAGTCACCCACTTCACCTTCCAACTCTCCTGCATAGTCACAACCCAAAGTCCATCTTCCCAGCACCCTTAAATAGCCCTATTTTCTCCATTTCCGCGTTCATTCTCTGTTTTACCATGCGCAAATAAAGTTGTTTCTACGCAACGACGATCCCTAAGTGTTTTAACTCAGTGATACCCCAATATCTGCTCCTAGTTTCGAGAAATTGGGGCAAACCGGGCATCACAGTTCGATCGATATCGACCTTCTCAATTTTACATTTTTCCTTTTTTTATTTTACTTGGAGACTTATTATCCCTTCACGCTCCGGTTACTTTTTTTTAAATACCGTCTTCTCTCTATATTGGAGAGTTTTTGAAAATTTTTCTCTATAATTACTCGTGCAATTAATTGATATTAATCCAAAACGTCATAGTAGGTAATAACAGACGTGTGAGTTGGTAAATTGGCCCTGAGCCAATAGGCGCACCTCACACCGAGGCAAAAAGTAATAAATAAAAAGATATTACTTTTTCAATACCGTCGTTCAGCACTTTTCTATGGTGAAGCACTTGTTTCTTCTATAATTTCGTCCAACAATTGATATCCGAACGAACTTGTGGTCCAATCACTTTTGGCCATACGCTAAAACTTATTCTTTCTGGCATCCCTAAATTTGTCGAGACGTTTATTTAAAGCACATAAAGAGATAAAAGTAGCCAAATTTCATCGACGGAGTTGGTCTTTCTGTTCTCTTTTTGCAAAATATGCTTGGAAAAGTGGCACATATTAAATAAACGTTGAAACTTTATTTAGTAAAACTTAATAAACCTACTTAATCGTAATGAAAAGGTACAATCATCGCACAATTCCGTGCACATCGATAGTTTTAACGTTGTCTATAGGATTTAACGCGTGGCAAGAGGCGGCCGCGATTAACGTAAGCTCGCGCCGAAAATAAAACTAAAATGTTAAGTATTGAGAAGGTAAAGTGTTAATTAGAAATGTCTCCGCAACGGAGTCACGAAACAAATGTTAGACGTCTCCGTATCGGAGCCAAAATCGAGGGAAACGTAATAAGCAGGGCGGGCTAGGGTTTTTTGACGAACGAGCGGATAGTAAGAAGAGGGACGACAAGCGAAAGAAAGAACGGAAGAAAGCGGTCGAACGATAACTGCGTTACGACGTCGATCCAATTTGCGGAAGTTGCCGTTGCGAATCAGAAGTTCTTCTTTCGTCGCGGTCTACCCTTTTATTGCCTTCTCGAAACTCCTCTGCAGACTGACGATTATCTCGCGATCCTATGGATCACTCTACTAGTTTCGAACGAAGAAGAGCCTTAACGCTATTTCGATAATCGTGGATAATCCGATTCGACCGATCGGCGATGGTGATTGCGCTTTGAGAAGAAAAATAGGGAGAGAAAGATACTACGGAAACGTCCGAAATATCTTCTCCTATAATACACTCTCTCCCCTCTTCACCCCTTTCGGTATTTTTATTCGGTTATCTCTCCTCTCGATCGACTCGCGAGAGATGAGTAAGCAGGAAAAAAGATTGCTTTGCCCTGGCTATAAGGAGAGGCGAAGATAACGCGTATGCTTATACGCTCGGTTTTTACGAGCCCACGGTGAGGCTTTTATTTTTATTGCCTCGTAAAAGTTCGATCCGGTTGATTTCGCGGAGCCAGACGGGAATGATAAGTGCGTCGGATAACCGGGCTAACTTGTATCCTGTTGAATCTGACGTTTTCCTCAACGGTTCCCATCGGCCGAAAACACATTCGGAGTCACGATTAATACTTTCTAACGTGATATCCAAACCAGTTTCCACCGCTCTGTCTCTCCCTTGCGTCCTCCATCTCGTAAAAGTCCTCCATAAAAATCGCAGAATCCGTCGATCTCCCTAAGATACCCGAAACTCGATCGATCTTTCTCATCTGAATTCTAGCAGGAACATTAACCATCTATAACGCTCGCCGTTGTTTCACGACGGCGTTTGATTCACGACAGTTACGCGACGCGTTAAAATCTGCCGCGTACGGGGTGGAAATCGCGAGGAAAGATCGCGGTGCACGCGATCGGTAGAGAATGGAGGCAAGCTTCTTCCTTGAATAGAGATCGAGGAGAGACAGGGATCTCCGGTAACGACGCTTCTGCTGGAAGAATAAAGGAAGCATGGAAGAACACTGTGGGTAAAAGACCGTTTGAAAGGGAGGAAGGAGTAATGAGGCTACCGGGTGGATGGAAGGAGCGTAGATACTCGCGGAACACGCGCTCACGATTGCCCCTCTCCGGCTGAAGAAGATGACATACTGTGCCAAGGGCCGAGACTGACAGCGAACGAGTGTTTGCCAGGGCGCACCCTAATTGTCGAGCCGCCACACCCTCGGCAAACATTGTCCATCAACCCTACTCCTCCTCGTTCTCTTCTCTATCAGCCCCTTTTCCACTGGGACCAAGTTTCATATACGTGTATACGCACGTATGTAATATAGGTATTGTTGCGACGACGGACGGCGTCCTTGTGGCGAAAGGAGCGGATAACTCCTATGATTAGAATCGGAGGGTCGGTTAATTGCCGGAGACGCCGGCATTAGCCGCGGGATTCTCGTCTCGCGTTACCCAGACAATTTCATTTCCGCCTCGATCGACTCTCTGTGTTTGCGGATCGTTGTCGTTCCTCAGGCGTCTAGAGTTCTGTAAATACGCGTGCACCGGGCTTAACCTAGTCGACAAACTTCCTCATACTTTGCCTCCGTTCTCTTTCGTCGTCGATGCTTTTCTACGGTGGGAATATTATTAAGTGCTCTATCTAGTGTGAGCTCTCGGTTTCTTTCCTCTTTTCGCTGTTGAATTGCTGTGAAAGGAATATCGCTGTATTAGTTGTATTGTCGTCCCGTAGATTCGAGGAGAATTCGAGGAAGCACTATGAGACGTAACGGTGTTACCAGAAAAAAATAGAAAAATGTTGTGGAACTCCTAACCTATTTCCAAAGAATGATTCTCACGGTATGAATGTCTGTGAAAGTGGTCCAATCCGTGAACACGGTTATTATATTGGGTCGAGCAGGAAATTCGCGCCGATTTTTGAGTAACTACGTTTCAAAGCACTAATTTCTTTACTCTATGAGACATGTATCCCCTTGTTCTATATCTTTTCGCCGTTTCGGAAATTTGGAAATACCATTTCGTGAAAAAGTTTTCAAAAAATGTTGTTTAAAATCGAAATTTTCATCTCTAAATTTTGCAATTATTCCCAGTCAATTTTTTCTCCGTGAACATTAGATACTTTGCTGTTTCAGTGGTGTTTTCCCTTTTTAGTAAAAGAAAAACAGTATGTGTTGGAAATCCATGTTCAAAATAAGACACGTGAAAAAATGATCTTTCAAAATATACACGAACTCCGTATGTTTCCATCGAGTTTTATTTGTCCCAACATATTCAGTCACCGTCTCTCTGACGCTCCTACAGCGAATAGGATAATCGAATGAGAACGAAAGTGGCGCAGCGCTACGAGCAATTGCTTCGTAATCATGGCATCTTCCTCTCGCGGCAGCATTATCCCGAAGAAAGTATTCCTGGAGAAGAAAATCTGGAGAAGAGGAAAGACATTTGCAAGGAAGTACGGAAGCGTAAAGGTTAATACCGGCTGTGAATAAGCCAGTGGCCGAGAGTTGAGCATTGTTTCCGTTCACGCTTGATCTTTACGTGTTGCATCGGTATTCTTTTCTCCCGTTCTGCAATCTAATGGCAGGCGTAACGAGAAGTTGCCTCGTAACGAGAGGTTTCCCCGTTCAACAATGGACGGCTATCCGAGTCGTTAATTGCTTCCCCCGTTCTCTCCTACGATCGTCCCAATTTCAGACCCCCTCGTTTCGGCCTCGCCCACGCCTATGGATATCTGTGAAACCTCCGACTGAACGAAAACTACGCCTCTTTGTGTCTCGTTGAGTACGATAGCCATTCCACCCTCCCCCTTGATCGATGCTCGGATTGAACGTTGTGTGTACCAACGGTATTGCGTAATTGCCTGAAAAATATTAAAGCAATAGGTCGATAGGAGAGTAGGTATACCGGAGGAATATGAGGCATTCGGCGCGGTCGATTGGAGTTTTTCGATGTTTTCGTCCGGTCCATCGATTCGATTTTAGCCCCATTAGTGCGGGAAAAGAGGGATCACTCGAATGGTACGGTGTGTTTACTCGAGAAGATCCTCCGGAAAGATTAAGCTTGCACTCAAGAAGATGGAGGATCTGGAGAAAGTTGAAAATTGGAAGGAAACAGACCTAATCCTTTCGCACCCTCTCAGGAGAAAAAGTTGCGGAACCTAGTTAGCTCTATGTAGGTAGCTGGGAGTATCGACTTGAGGTAGTTCAAACTTTCGAGTTATCCCGAAATTACCGAAGCCAACGGGTAATAGGATGATCGTCCCTGATCGAGGCCGTACGTTATTACAAGACGCCTCATCACGAACCTCGATAACACCGTGACGCTTTAGATCGAACGTCTTGCAACCCTTCCCTTGGAACCTCGACGAGGTAGGATCGTATCCGCGAAGGATGCTTAAGTGACTACATCGGGCGTCGCGGTACATTTATCATCCTAATTTCATCCATCTTTCAGTAGGGCTTCATCCCTCGATCAATAACCGGCCCTTCAACTTTTCTTTTTCTCCCTATCTCTCTATCTCACTCAGTCACTGACTCACTCGATCACTCACTCCCTTTCACTCCCTCCCTCTCTCGTTCAATCACTCGCCGAATGACTCACTCAGTCACTTAATCTCACTTACTCTCGTTCACTCTCTCTCTCTCTATCCCATTCACTCACACAGTGACTCACTCTCTTAGTCACTCGCTAACTCTCTCTCTCTCCCTCGTTCACTCACTCACTACTCACGCACTCACTGACTCAATCACTCTCTTTCACACACACACTCTCTCTCTCGCTTACTTACTACTCTCGTTCACTCTCTCTCTCTCTCTCCCATTCACTCACACAGTGACTCACTCTCTTAGTCACTCGCTAACTCTCTCTCTCCCCCTCGTTCACTCACTCACTACTCACGCACTCACTGACTCAATCACTCTCTTTCACACACACACTCTCTCTCTCGCTTACTTACTCACTCACTTACTGATTCAATCACTCTTTTTCACTCTCTCTCCCCTCGTTCACTCACTTACTACTCACGCACTCACTGACTCACGCACTCACTACTCACGCACTCGCTACTCGCGCACTCACTGACTCACGCACTCACTGACCCCTCGTTCACTCACTTACTACTCACGCACTCACTGACTCACGCACTCACCACTCACGCACTCGCTACTCGCGCACTCGCTACTCGCGCACTCACTGACTCACGCACTCACTGACTCAATCACTCTCTTTCACATACACACTCTCTCTCTCGCTTACTTACTCACTCACTTACTGATTCAATCACTCTTTTTCACTCTCTCTCTCTCCCCTCGTTCACTCACTCACTACTCACGCACTCACTACTCACGCACTCGCTACTCGCGCACTCACTGACTCACGCACTCACTGACTCACGCACTCACTGACTCAATCACTCTCTTTCACACACACACTCTCTCTCGCTTACTTACTCACTCACTTACTGATTCAATCACTCTTTTTCACTCTCTCTCACCCTCATTCACTGACTCACGCACACACACTCTCTCTCTCTCTTTCGCTCATTTACTGACTCAATCACTCTTTCACTCTCTCTCCATCGAGAGGAGGCGGTTTCTCTATGAGAAGACTTCTTCCAACGGCTATTCCAACCCCTAAAAATACCAAACACCAGTGTACACCGTGATACACCGCGCGGCACACAGTGTTCCGAAGCTATATTGAAAAATATGGGACATCAGTGTAATACCGGTACTGTCTCTCGTATTTCGCAAATATTCCCCGAAACCGTGGAATGTAACACCGACAAAAAGGGAAAAAAACCAGGGAGAAAAAGAGAGTTACGTGCATCAGGTCGGGTGAAATGGTGGTGAAAAAATGTAACAGCGACGTGTTTTAGATTATTCCTGTCGCGAGGATGAAATAAACCGAATAGAAGCGTTCATCTCTTTTTCTTCTCGAAGCGTGGACACACGCCACCACGGCGAAAAGTGTACGGAGTATAATAAAAAATTACGACGGTTTCAGAGGCACAGTATCCACGGCATGATAGAGGAGGAGAACGTTGTGAGACCGCACCAGGAAATGGCCAGCCTCTCCTACGATGAGAAGAAGTACCTTCTCGCGGTGGAACGCGGGGACATTGCCTCCGTCAGAAGGTGAGAGAGACTTTAGAAAATCAACGCGCATATCTTCGCGATATCACAGTGTATATAGATGCAGCGGTAGAGGAAGAGCTTGGTAATCCACGTGGAAATTTTAGCGGCACGTATCGCTTGGATTACCTAACGAGGATGCTCTTTAAAAAATTTACTCGCGTAATACGCGACAATTTCATCCCTCCTCTCTCTCGAGAGAAAAAAATAAAAAGTTCGAGAAGCTCTTACGATTGCTCGTTATAATCGTTCGCAAATAAGACACGTCCGCTCTTTTCGATCATTCTTCTGTTATGGGCACGTGCCTGTCGACACGTGTCGAAGGGAAAATACAGTGTAAAATATGACGGAAGAGGAACATTGTCTAGAAAAAAAAGAATCTCTGTTCCTTTACCTTTCTTTTTTTCATATATACCTAGGTAGGATATGTACATTAGGCGAACATTAGCAAGGAGTAAGGTATTGTTTGAATCGCATTGAACAGATGCAACAATGGTTAATTTGAAAGGTAGGAAAGGAACGACGCGTGCGTGCATCGCGATCGCGGCTTTTATGCAAATACAAGAATACACTCGAGCGGACAGAGAAAATCGGTCGGATCTAGGGCTTGAGCGTTAAAGAGGACGCTGGATCTCGCGCTCGCGGAAGGTCAAAGGCGCGGCTCTGCGTATCTATATACACCCTCTGAGTCGGTGCGCCAACAAAGGATCTAATTATCCTACGGACAATCGTTCCCACGATCCCGAAACTTCTCGGAATTCTTCGCGGCGTTCCTCGTCCCCGCGCAATTAATACCGATTGCGATGTACTCGGAAGTTTCGTGGAATTCTCATTTGATTGGTGGAAAAGCGGGACAACGAAAATACGGTTGCCTTGCCGGATTCGTCTGTGGCTCGAACGTAATAGAGAAATCGTAATGGTTGAAATAAAAATTTTTAAAAATAAACATAAACATGTTCGCTGTTAACCCTCGTACGACGAATGCAGGGTCATTTTGACTCAATAGTGATAGAGTCAGGCCGCTCAGATTACGCTTGGTACAGGAAATACATCTACTTTATGTATCCAAATGTAAGTGAACAAGATGGAAATTTTGCTACGGTTCGAAATGACCCTGCGTCCGTCTAAAACCATTCGCCTTCCGAGGGTTAAGCAAAAGGTATATTTCAGAGTTTTGAGACTCACGGCCCGGATTGATATGAGTGGAATTATTTGAGGCTTGCGGGTGTAAACCGTGTCCAAAAGAATCTGCATTCCGACGTTTCGCCAGCATTGCAGCTAGCTTCATCAGGGTCTGGAGACGTGCTGATAGTAGTGTGCGTCTGGGTGTTCACTCCTTTATCGGTGATTTTGACCAATCAGTGTTTAATTGATCGATCAATTAAAAAACGGGAGGAGATAGGGTTAAGTTGGTAACCTGTGTTTCTATTGATGTTAGAGTTTTTCTTTCTTCGAAACGTCGGAATCACGGCTTATATTCGGAAGCCTCAAATAATTCCACTCAAAAGTTATATTTATTTCGTAATTTCCGCGGTTACTGCGATGGCTCGGGTGTCCGTCCAACCGACGGTAACAACGATTCTTCTGGACACGGCTCACACCCGGAAGCCTCAACTAACATTAGTTCCATTGAACCGGGCCGTGAAAGTCTCAAAACTACTTGTTCGTTATTAATTATACACACTTAATAATCTAGAAAACACGAAGCTCCTCGGATCTTCGGCTGCAATTATGGAATAACTTACCGGGGCTCTTTCGAAGGTCCTTTGCACTCGACGATCTCTTTGCAATAGGTAAATTGCAAATCAGATTCATTTCTATATTTCATGTATTTTTATATTATGCAAGACCTTGCAACAGTTCGTCAAAGATTGGTTCCTTCAAATCATTTCGCTGCTTAGACATTTACGAGAGGCCCATAGACCTATTGTCCGGTGAAATTAATGTTTTACCAAATGGTAGACTCAGTCGCCGCTCGAGTGCAAAGGGTTAAACTTGATAAGGGTAAGCCGCATCACTGCTGATCCATGACGCGTCTTTGGTGACACCTCTTCGGAGACGCGTTCCACCCAGGGTTCGTACGAGGTATCTTACGATTAGATAAATAACGTACCTCGTAACACCCTGGGTGACAAAGACCAGGCCACCACTCGGTCGCCTGAATCCCGCGTTCCATGCAAAAGAGGGTAAAACATGAAACACAGAGAGACAGATGGGGAGATTGTAACGAGGATGGAAACGGTGGCTGCAAATGGTACGAGGACGGCGGATGTTGTTTCAGGATGTTGCAGGGCGCGGACCAAACCGAAATGAACATCAACTGTGTGGATCCATTGGGACGGTCGGCGCTTCTGATGGCGATCGATAACGAGAACTTGGAAATGGTGGAGCTTCTGATCCATCACAAGGTCGACACGAAGGACGCGTTGCTGCACGCCATCTCCGAAGAGTTCGTCGAGGCGGTAGAGGTACTTCTGGATCACGAGGACAAGCTTCATCGTAACGGAGAGCCACACGTTAGTCGATTCCGTCATGTAATATGTGTACCTGTTTCGATCCAACATCTTTGTCCTTCTTACTGGCTGTAGGAATGAGAAAGTTTGGAAGCGGTAGTAGTTTTTTAAAACGTCACACAGTAGGTACATTAGTTGAAGCTATCTACGTCTGTTATCCTTGAGAAATTTATTACCGTTTAGCTAGTAGCCCGGTAAATTTAGGACTTATTAGGTTGTATCACGTGAATTTGACAATCAACCGTGATTAATAAGCTCTACGTTATTTAGATTTCGATTGGTACTATGCGCAAGTTATTTTGGTGCTGTGCTCCTCTGTTCCCTTTGTTCATTAAATTGTTTTTCGTGGTTGTTTAACGCGTTAAGCGCGGCGTCAGTCCGTGGTGACTGACAGTGAACTTTCCGTTTAGGCGGCGTCGTGGGACCGGCAGTATCGTGTTTAAAAAATAAATGTTATGCACGTCTCCTTCTTTTTTTTTTGGCAATTTACGAACACTTCTTCTATCAACCCGCATTTGTTATCTTCTGTTCATACTCTATAACCGAACAGCTCGCGAAGTGATCGCCGCTGTGTGCCGCCTGAACGGAAAGCAGGGCGAAATCGGCTCCGCGCCCAACGTGTTAACTGTTTTATGTAAGCAAATAATACTGTCTCCAGAAGAATTTGGGACACGCGTGTGCAGCTGATGATTGAATTAAGAAAAGCTAATTTTTGTGAACATGGAGTGAATTACTATTCGTATGTATTAGGACACTTATTGAATGATCCAAAAACGAATTTGTCAGTTTGCAATCTTTTAGTATAAAGAGCATACGTATAGTTCCATTAATCGTGACCTTAATTCTACCACTCCATTCGTAAGTTCTAAGTTCAACTCTATTCGTAAGTTGCATTTCCTTCCCTAATTATCGTAAATTAATATTTTCTAGATAAGTGTATCAGAAATTGCATTTTCCTTGCAACAAAAGGAAAAAGTAGACAACTCTAAAGTATCTGAAAATATTAAAACTGGATAATTTTAAAATCAACTCCATGTTCAATATTAGCACACAGCTTTTCCTAATACTTACAAACATTCGCGAAAAATTAACACTAATGCCGCATATTCTGATTAAATAAAAATAATTCCTTTTAAAACTACCTCGTTAATTCTCACCTAGAAAAAGGACAATTTCATACGATACAGCCTAATGCATTTCATTACTACAATCTCATTAATAACCGCTTTACTAATATTTTAACGACTCGTCCTTTAAGATTGCCGCCGCTTCGAAGCTTCCTGCCGATGCTCTCGATCTACGGAAAAAATTCTTGCGAAATTTAACGACCCTCGGCGTTCCCTTCTCCGAGCCTCCCTCTCCTTCATCCTCGACACTTTGATTTCGCAGCGACAAGCTTCGCCTCGCAATTAAGCGGTGATTGCATTTTTCCGGCCAGGCAATTTCGTTTCAGTTATCGAAATTCCTACTTGCTCCTTGATTTTCCTACCCTCTCTCTCCCTCTCTGTCTCTTCTCCCAGTTCTGCAGCCTCTCGAACGTCGACGACGACCGGACGACGAGGACAGTTAAGTAGATTCCGTGGACCAATAGGTCGACCCACATTTTAATCAGCCGTCTCGATGGAGTTTTTTCGTGGCCTCGCAACAAAGCGAGCCCCGCCGGCACTGGATCCCATTTCCGGCCAGGCCTCGAAACGCCTGACACACACGGTATATACCGGCCGAATTCGCGCCGAGTGGACACCGAGGAGGAAGGGGGGAAATAAAAGCGTAAAAGGACGTGGAATTGCAAACTAGCGAGAGAGATGGCTGGAGAGGAGAGAGTTTAATCGGCTTTTACCCCTTCCTCGTGAAAAGAAAAAGAGCGACAGGCGGAGAGAGACAGAGTGATAAGGAGGCAGAGAGAGAGACAGGGAGAAAGAGAAAAAGAGAGAGAGAGAGAGAGAAATCGGCTTAAGTGGAACTTTGAAAATAATCGTCGGAGCCTTCCTGGCTGATGATCAAAGAGTTTATTATTATACCGATGCTCGGAGCTTGGGAAAAATAGAGATTGTTCCCTTTGTATTTCAAAGATTCCCCCATTCGGAAACAATTTATCTCCCCCCTTTGACCAGTTGAAAATAGCGGTTTACGTATTATTGTTACAGAGCTGGGAAGCCCTGCCATCGGACACAGCCACTTTCACGCCAGACATCACGCCCCTGATCCTAGCCGCGCACAGGGACAATTACGAGATCATTAAGATCCTCCTGGATCGCTGTTTCATGCTACCCATGCCTCACGATGTTCGTTGCGGGTAAGCACGAGTCTTAAAACAAACGATGCCTCCTTTCATCGTGCTCATTGGCCACGATAAATGTTCATTCATAAATAAATTCTATCGGACGTGAATTCGAGAGGCTACAATCGCTCGTTAAACACGTCCTTTCACGTTTATATTCATTTTTCACTTTACTTGGACGATTTTTATAGTGAAATTGAAACAATCGCGTCGCAATTTTCGATATTTCATCCTTTCAAGGGGTATTCTGGTTGGCAAACTTTAGCATTTTTTTTTTTAAAGAACCGTTAAACCGTTTGTAGTAAGATTTTGCACATACGTTTGTGGGTATTTGAAGTACGCGATATATTTTTTTTAAGTAGAAACAATGAAAATTACACGAGTTATAGTTTGTTACATAGTGTGTCGATTGTTTACACGATTCCGGGCCTTCTGCTGAGCTAAAATAGAAAAACGAGGGAGAATCTTAATCGGTATAGATCTAGCTACGGTCTGAACGAAAATTAGATAAAAATATCGATTATTCACAAAATGGCAGCATTTCACTACCGATTTTTTTCATACTTTGCCGTGGTTAGCGTGTTAAAAGAATGTTACAAATTTTCACGCGGTAACAGGACGCGTGTTAAAGATTCTCTCCGAATTTTGAAAAGTAGCTTTCGAGAAAAACGCGTTTAAAGATTCGTCTATCCATTTCGTTACGGCACAACTGCATCCTTCAAACGCTTGCACCTAAATTAATTTCACAAATTCGCACAAATCCTTTCGCACACATACTCTAGAGCACTTATATTTTCACACTTTACCGACCGCTCGTTGTTGAACTATTTTCGGGCTCCGTCTTTACTATCGCGCGGGAATTGAAGCGCTTATTCTTACAGCTGTACAAATTTTCAATTAAAATTCTCAAGAGTGCCTACTGTATCGTTCCGCTTTCTCTTATGTGAGAAAATCCGTCACGAAGACGGTGAAGCGAGCATCTTGAAGCCAGGCCCAGCGCGCTCGGTGTATATATGTAATAAATAAATTATTTCTTAATTAACAAATTACATTTAAAAATTTATATATTAGGTGAGCCTTACATTTTAATAAATACCTCATACGTTCAGTTAATGCTTAGATTTCTAGAGTTTAGGCCTACACTTGTGGTTCATTTATCCGTACCTAAAGACCTGTAGCTACACTACCGGCCAAAAGTTCGGAATCACCGAGCATTGCAATTTACACAAAAATTTCCAGAAAAAAGTCAGCGACTTTGAGAATTTTTTTATCACTCGAATCAGTTGATATGAGATAAGTTGATAAAAGTAGAACTGAGATAAACTTTAAATCTATAAAAAATTAGCAGCTGATTTAATATCGACGAAAAGTGGGAGGTGATTCGAAACTTTTGGCCGGTAGTGTATAATATATCATGGTATATTGATTTAACTTTAGCTGGTTAATGGTACATCCACAGATTTATACCTTGGCCTCACTTATATTAGCTATTATATTACAATTGCTAAGTTACATTAAAATAGGTATTTACCACTACATGCAATTAAATAATAATTTAGACGCGTACTTACTCTTCGCGAGACCCTCGAAGTTATAATATACTATTGTAAAAACGTAGGACACGTTCGATTAATTTCGCGCCCACCCTACTCCGAGTCAGAGTACTTTCTGACGCTTATTATAGGGAAATTCAAATTAATAACATTAAAGAGCGGCAAGCGTTGGCGGCGAAAAGCGGATTAATAGGCTTCCGGTCGGTAAATTAATAATAAAGCTCGAAACCGGAGTGACACGAAAATTCATCTTTTTAAAAATTTTCAATTAACAGGTGCGACGAGTGCGTGACGTCGAGAAGAGAGGACTCTCTGAGGCATTCCAGGAGCCGAATAAACGCGTACAGGGCGTTAGCCTCGCCGTCCCTGATCTCCCTTTCCTCAAAGGATCCAATTCTAACTGCGTTCGAACTCTCCTGGGAACTTCGTCGGCTCTCCTTTCTCGAGCACGAGTTTAAATGTGAATACCAGGTGAGTTGTTCCCTCGCGTAACGATAAATACTCCGGCCAAAGGTGATGTACAAGTTCCATTTGCGAGATAAATAGCGGGAACACACGGTGAAGTGATACCGCGAGTTTGCCAGATCGATCCGAGGTTTACAGCAAAGACATTTATTTAGCACTGTCTGTTTTCTGTTAAGTGGTGTAGAGAGAGAGAGAGAGAGAGAGAAGGTAAAGCGTTCGGTAACACGGAGTTTTCTATCAATGGTGGAACGGGTTCTCTTTACAGAGGATTTCGCTTTTGATAAATGCAGAAGGTGGCGTTATTTTGTCCGTGCATCTCGTTACCGTGCGCCGCAATTTCATTTGTCCGCTTTGAAGTCCCCTTTAAAGATCTCGGTTACGCCGGAAAATAGAGTCCTACGTTCAATTTAACCGTGGAAACGCGATCTCTGCGGACCGGCGGAGAGAGAGCGTGTCCGCGAATCCACGGGAGGAGAAGAGTACATGAAACAACCGTTGAACTTCAGAGTTTGCCCGCTACTCAACCCTTTTTGGCCCACTTTCCTCTTCGTTCAATTACTTCTTCTTCTTCTTCTGTGACCCGTTCGCGAAACGAAATTTTAAGGTAGCGCATCCGGTCCCTGCCCTTCACTCTCCTCTGCAAATAATAGCCCCGGGAATAAATTGCATTTATATTCTATTAGGGTCATCCGGAAAGCTGTTCGGTCTGGAAGAAAACGACAGAGTTTCGTTGATATTAAACGGTTCTATTCGAAAGGTTTGGTACACCTTTTGTCAACGTATCGGAAGGGCATTAATTTGAGAAGGAAAGATGCAAATGAACCTCCTCGATCCAAATTTAATTTACACCTGAAAAATTATGTTTATAGTTTGCTGATCTACTTTGGGATTAACCCTTTTCGAAATATCTTTTTTAAGAATTTTGCGATTTATCTTATCTTCTTTAACACGTCGACTGCCAAGCTACGAGATAACGCCCGACCACGAGATAATTCGAAAGCATTTTTTTGCAAAAAAAACAATTAAAATTAGTCATAATATAAAAATTAATATGTGTTTGTTTAATTCTATACAATAAATTGCAAAAAAAATGTTGGCGTCTAGAACAGATTTCTTCAAAATAGGCTTGGCAGTGAACGTGTTAAGAATTGATGATTTATTTTTAAGAATTTGCGATTTATCTGGCGATCATCGCGTGTTTATGGATACCAAATTAAGATCAATTTTTATTTGAGGATTCAAGAGGGTCACGAAAGGGTTAATTCACTGCAGTTCCCTAAAATCAGGTACCACTATCGCTACAAACTCTTACAGTAACGAATTGGAGGTCTATTCTTTTGCACGACAACGCCAGAATCGCAAGCAGCAAGCACAGATACACGAAAATTGCATCAACTGGGAATTGAATTTCAATCTTATCCTCCGTATTCCTCTGACTTATCTCGAACCTTCCTTCGCTGTTTCCGCTCTCTTGACAATTTCCTTATGTTTTTGCACGAGTTCGCTTTAGTACTTTACTAAAGACGGCGCGTTAGTGAAGGTCGTAACTCTTCACTCCGATGTTTCGACACCGCGTATCGTACAGTGTTTTCCTTACGATCGTTTCCGGAGGTAAGGAATGATAGTTGAGATGTGTCTTTTGGTTTTTCTTGTCCTCGTGAAGTGTCTTTTTTGAACTCTCTTTATTTGTGGTGGTGCGTGGGTCGGTGTATGTTGTGATTGGTTGGACGTTGAAGGTGGTGGAAAAGAAGGTCTCGAAAAATGCGGAGGTGTGATTGGATATTAGGAAACTAGTGGAAGGAGAACGTGAGGGTGAAGGTGGTGGGCAAAAGTTGAAATAATTTGGGAAAAACCCGGAAAGGGCAAAGGGATAGGAAACATGACCAGGATGCAACGTGAACTGTTTTATGGTAGGGAAGGAATTTGTTAGGAAGACGGCTGGAAAGGACTGTTTATTAGTTTATGATGTGTTACTGGCCGGTGGGCTGCGCGACCGGACAAGGACAATCGAACATGGTACATTAAGTAAACCGGACAAATTTTTCAGAACAAAGGTAGCGGAAGATTTTTTATTAATTTAACAGCACAGTCTTATAAGGCATTTTTAATATCCACTATAGTGTTAAAGATATACAGGGAAATAGGGTAACACTTACCTTCATCCAAGGGCTGTTTTCACCCCGGAGAACTGAAATTGGACGGAAAAAAAATTGTCCGTTACTTCTCTCGAGGTCCCCTACTGTTTAGGCGTGAGCAATTTACCAAGTTGGAGTATGAAAGAGAGTCTTTCGTGTATGCTCACTTCAAACGTCAACGTTAATGACGATTGAATATTTATTGAATTTGGATACTGGACGGTGGTGAAAGAATGATGTCACGAGTATAGATAACACTTAAACTTTAAATTTATTCTACAACTGTTGAATTAGAAAAACGCGTTAGACTGGTGATAATAATTTCTGTGTTGAACCGCTGATAGAAATTTAGAATCTAATTTTTCCGTTAAGGAATGCGTGCTTAAATAATAACTGCGGACATGAGAAAGTGGGAATGACGATGTCTGATTGGTGGTTTTACAAAGGTAGGGGAAGCCGCCGTGACCCTCAGGTACTGCAAGTACCTTCGAGTGGCATGTATCGGAGTTTCCTTATACCTTAACCGTAGCAGGTAATATTTTATTGGTTGCCCTGACTCGGCCAAGGTAAATGAAATTAACACGGCTGAGGTAAAATTCTTAATCCTAATACAAAGGGGCAATCGTCGCTATGCATTCAAAAAAAAAAGGTAAAATATGCACAATGGTTTTTACTGAAGATTACTTTTACGCCTTAACACCTACAAACCCACAAAGTTTCAAAAGAATCGGACATTTCGGGTTACCGAAGTTCCCTTGTGAATGAAACGCGTAAATCTGGCGTGGCAGTGAACGTGTTAAAAAACAATACTACAAGATATATCACCGACTACGAAAACGAGGCATTTTCTCAAACCGCAAAGCGGTGACAGTAAGATCGTTTGGATCTTAAGAGAAAAGTATATCTCGACCTGTACGTGTACGGTTCCGCTGTATAGAGAAACGTATAGGCCTTTCTGTGGCAGGATCGTATATTATTCCCGTCATTTATTTCGTTTGTTCGCGCGGAAAGGATGCTATTGCCCCGAGGAGATATTCCAGACTTCGGTATGGCTGGGAAATTCGCAAGGCTCCCTTCCTCTCTCTTCGCTTGGATTCACGGCTGAAGAAAGGGACGTGATAAATCAATATAATGGAAATCGATGGTTCGCACGTGCCCATCCATATCTCTCGCCTTCCTTCGAATTTATTTATTTTAACGAATACAAACTGTAACGAAGGACAGAAGTCTCGGGGCACGCGAGAAAGTGGGGAAAATTAGTAGGGGTGAGTAGGGGACACGAGGAACGTGGGGTAATTGCGAATTCGCTTAAATACGGCGTTAGAAAAGCACGAGCAATTCGTTCTTCTGATTTAGGTCACCGATGCAAAACAGTTGACACGCCGATCGAGGTAAGAACTATCGAAGATTCTTCCTCGTCTTCGTCTAATTTTTCGAAGAAAGTAAAATAAGCACAGTTTAGTAAAGTAAGTAGAAACACAAAAAGTGCAAATTGGGGAATAATTCGAAACCGGTATACTTTTTACACGATATTTCTAACCTAAAATTCTCTCTGTTGCTTTCGTTCTTCACCTTATGGGGTAATGACGAGCGAATTGCGCGGGGCAATCTCGAACGTTCGTCGTGAAACCGAAAGACCGACTGGAGTAAAGTAGCGTGAAATTTTGAAAATTTTCAAGAGAAAATAGAGGCACGAAAGAAAGTTAACGCTGAAAATGACAAAGATGAATTTATTGTAAAAAGACAGTACGAGAACCCTCCAGCTGAAGATTGCATGATGCGTTACGATTGTTGCAAGAGTGCAGTGATAATCAGAGCACATCTATTTATGCGACTTTTGTAAAATATTTAAATACCCCACGACAGTTTTCCTATTAAAAATTCCTGTTGCATTTAAATTTTCTTAAAGTTCGTCGTAAAAATATACAAACAAATAACACGTGTTTGTACACAAACGATAAAAAAGTTACTACCGTTGTAATATTTCGTTTCACTCAATTTTCTCCTTAGTGGTTAGTAATTGCCCCACTCTCCCCTGTTACAGGAAGGAAACGAAATTTCTCGACGTTTCGAGAAGCTCTCTCTGCTTATTTCTCGCGGCCATCTTTGTTGACTCAACGCCGTCGTCTTGCTCGCGTTGCAAACGCTGCTGCCCTTGTTAATTCGTGTAAACATCGCAGACACACGTGGTGCCGGTCCCGTCTCGAAATATCCGAGATTGTCCCGACTCTTCGTTGGATCGCGGCAAAGGTTTTCACGGTCTCAGCTATACGGGGCGGATATTAACGTCTCGTTAGCGAATCGTGCGAACCACTCGTCCACTCCGTAGATATCGGCGAACGTTTCGCACCGTTTGGTATGGCCGCTTTGATGTCGTAAATGTTTGGTTTGGCGCGAGGTCGCGGATGCAAACGAGAATCCACGGAATTCCTCCTCTTCCTGCGCGCCAGCTTGTGTCTTTCCGCGGAAAGACGCGCTAGCGGCTTTCCATCGAACCTCGCGACAATGAAAATTCGGTAGGATAATGGATAAACGACAGATGGAACAGACATTTCCTTCCATTCCCTTCGTCGAAGACTTCGTTACGCGGCTCAGCCCCGAGCGAACCTTAGACCGAAATAAATCATCGCTGATGGCTAATTGATTAAGCCTGCGGGAGGATTCGCAAACGATTAACGAGAATAGATTACAGGAGGCTAACCCTCGTCCTTTTCCCATTTCTTTTTTTTTTCTACCGTGAGAAAAAGTTTCTCTCCTTTGGACCCTTCTTTTTGCTCCCCTTCGGAAGACAATCTATCGGTTGTGTCGGCCATTTTGGGTTTCTTCTCCGAGGCTTCGACACAAATTTGGTAGAAAATGGTGTCGTTTCGTCGTTGTTTTCTTGGTTACACCGTGTCGAATCTTCCTCGAATATTCCACGGTTTTGCTATTATTTTTTCTTTCAACCCGTTAAACGTACCTGACCCCCTTTGTACCTGTCAATTTACACGCAATAACGTCGGAGAACAAATTGCTCGAGATGATCGTTTAAATCTTCCGGGCGATCGACGAGCGTTAAAAGGGAATAAATTACCGTCCCTGTCTCTCCCTTCGTCTTTTCATCGTCGAAGGGGATAAAGTTTCCGCATTTTTCTTTTTTCTTCATCTTCGTCGAGCGAGGGCCGATTGTCCCCCACGACAACTCGATTGACAAACGACCTGGCCACCGTCCAAATCCTTTATCGCTCTCATTCATGCCGCTCTTCATAATTTTTCTCTCCCCTTCGAACCGGGCCTGCCACGCCTCGAACCACTTTTGACGTTCGCCTACAGCTTCTTCCAAGAAAGCACCGCCGATCTTCCGTTGCGGATAGGGAGTGTATACTCGAGGGGGAAAGGTTCTCCTTCGGTGAAGTTAGAGAGAAGTTTCGCTAGTCGCGGTGTGTGTGTGTGTGTCGCAGCTCGGGGTTTTAAGGGCGTCGCTAAAGAAACTTCGGAAAGTTGTAATGCGTTTTGGTGAAAGAGCCAGGACGTGAGAGGAACATGGTTGCCACACAGGGTTGTTTATGGATCTGAGTTCGGCGGGTGTAAGCGTTCTCTATTGCTCGGAAACGGCCATGTTGCGATTCCAGGAGCTTAGAAGACAATGCCAGGACTTTGCTACCGCCTTGCTGGATCACACCAGAACTTCCTACGAGCTGGAGGTGCTGCTGAATCACGATCCCACCGGGCCGGCGTTCGAGCACGGCGAGAGAATGCATCTGAACCGGTTGAAGCTGGCCATTAAATTTCGACAGAAAAAGGTAACCGTATGAAAGTGGTTTTTCTTTGTTAGTTTCGTTACAGTGTGCTTTAGTGTGCAAACATCGCCGTATGAAAAGAAAGCGTGGAGTAATATTAATCTTCTGGAGGCGATCTGGGTCATTTGTGACCCAGAGAAATTTCTTGTATTTTTGCGAAACGAATCTTTATTTTTATTGAAGGAAGTTTTGAAGATTTGGGTTAAGGAACGATTGTACAATGTAGTAGAGTCATTTATCGGGTATAGAATCATATTGCTTCAATTTTAACTCATTCTTAACCCTCTGGAGTCAATCTGGGTCATTAATGACCCAAGAGAAATTTCACACTTGTATTCCTACGAAATGAATTTTTATTTTTATTGAAAAAATTTTGAAGATCTGACTTAACAAAAAGTCGTTTAGTATATAGATTCACGTTGCTTCAATTTTAATTAATTCTTAATCCTCCGTTGGCAAACTGGGTCATTGGTGACCCAAGCGAAATTTTGCTCTCCTATTCGTTCGAAACGAATTTTGATTTTCATTGCAAAAAGTTTCGAGTAATCTAATAGAGATTTTGATAACTGTCTCAGAATTTTTTCCGATTTTTTTAAATCCCAAAGAAGTGCAAAAATTAAACTTCGACATAAACTATCTATTATAATTTGCCTACGAAGAGTTACTCCGTTCGCTGCCACACTTATAAATACATCCTCGCAAAAAGAACAACGAAAAACCGAGAATCCGAGCTACCAAAATAAAGTCCTCGTTGAAAAGCTAATTCGTACCTCTTGCACTTCATTTTACCTCGTCCAATGCCTCTTCGAAGAAGAGCATTCCCGTGGAGAACTTCTCGAGAGACTAAAGGAATCGACGAGTCGTGGTTCGAGTTTAATTGGAGTTCGTGGTGTAGATAAATTTTTCCCACCGGTAACCGTTTCCATCGGTCCCGAAATCACGGCCGGTTCGGTTCAATCGAATCGCTCCTAAGAGATAGCAGCCGGCCAGGGAGTATCGACGTAACCTCGTTAAGCCTCAGAGGGATCGGCCGCGACGAGTCCTAACTCCGAAATTAGACCGTAATAAGTACAATTTCCTAGTGACATGACCGGAAACTGTCTACCAATATTAGATTATCTCGGAATTTCCAGTTCGTGGCGCATCCTAACGTGCAGCAGCTACTCGCATCGATTTGGTACGAGGGTCTTCCGGGCTTCCGGCGGAAAAACATGGTCCTCCAGGCTCTGGAGATCGTCAGGATCGGCGTTCTCTTCCCGTTCTACAGCGTCGCGTACATCATCGCTCCTCACAGCGTGGTGGGACAGACCATGAGGAAACCGTTCATCAAGTTCATCTGTCATTCAGCTTCCTACTTCACTTTTCTCTGTGAGTATTTCCGTCACGAAACCGTTCCGAAATCTTTTCTCCGTCGATCCGTTAGCCGTTCCAAAATTAGCCTCATCGTGTCCAGATCGTTACGATTTTTACGACTATTAGAGCGAACTTTGAAATCGACCAAACTCGAATTTCTTCGTTTTTTTTTTTTTTCCTCCAAACAACCGATATTCCATCGATTCGATAAAACGTGTCGACGTTAAAAAAGAATTACTCGTTTACACGAGGCGTGTTTTTTTTTTTTTCTCTGCTACCCGGGAAGTTTATCGAATCGAGCTCTGGCCTCGTTTTTCTCCAAACGACGTGTTTCACCTTTTCGGCACGTCAGCGAATCAAACATCTAAACAGTTTACAAATACCTCTCACTGCAACCGCGGCTCGCGAATACCTCTCACTACCAATAATAGCGGGAGTGCGGTAATGCTCTAAATTTGAGACATCAACTACCATTACCGTGGTGAACGATAAACATTCCTGACGTGCTGCCGATTGGGAACACCCTGGAGCTTGACTCTCGGGCGTGTTACGAGACGGGAATTCCATCGTTCGATTCCGTAACAGATTTACCAATCGTAGATCGTACCGCTCGTTTTACACACCTTCGCTTTAGTGTTACGTTTCTTTGATGTTCGCCGCGTGTAACGATAGAGCCGCGCGAATTTTTATCGGGACGTAAACACGGAAACCGATGCCGGAGATACGAACGTGACGGCAGTTGGAAACTCGGCCGTGGAGGATATTTAGACGGAGAACGGGCACGGGAGTGCCACTCGAAGGAGGTAAGGGTAAAGAGAGGGAGTTTCCAAAGCTTGCCTCACCCGGCATCCTCGAAAAGCGTAATTGACCTCGAAGTTAGACTAACGATGTTTTGAGTCACGAGGAACACGGCGGGATAATGTACTCCTCGAGGAGACGCGGGGCTGAAGCGTGAGGAGTTTCGGGAGATTATGCAGCAACGAGTCGGGATAATTTTGCCGGCTGCAAGATGCGGTCGCGGTCCGCCGGCAGAAAGCAGAGGCTCCGTTCCGCCGATGTAGATTGCAAATGAATGGAAATTGAAGAGAAGTTGCGAAACGGCCACTTTTTAATCAACGTACGAGCTTCGCTGTCGCGTACAGTCTTGCAAAGTGGCCCAAAACGAGTCCGAGCTTCGCGGTAACAACTCACAATGTTGCAGAGCGTTTCTACGCTGCTCTGAATCTTCGTGCGATGATGTATAATGTTGCAAAGGGGCTCGGGTTAATCTCTAACTTCCCTGCGGTATATTCACGAAGTTGTAAATACCATAAACGTTGTTTCACGCTTGCAACATAGTGCAACAAAGTTGCACCGTAGCGTAGAACCTCGCAGAGTCTCGCGACGTGGGTTCAAGCTTCGCGGTAATGACTCGCGGATTTGCAAACTGTTTCGAAGCTATTTCGAGCCTTCGCGCGACGAATGCACAATGTTGCAAAGTACTTCAGCTCGATCTCTTACGATACATTCGCACACTTGTGAACGATGGCAGTGTGCGATGAAGCGGCAAGTTACATTATGCCACAGAGTCTTGCACAGTTTCCCGAAGTAGGTTCAAATTCCGCGGTAATGACTCACAAGGTTGCAAAGCGTTCGAAACTGTTTCGAATGAAAGTAGCTCGGCTCGGTCTCCCGCCGTTCTACTATATATCACATAGTTCGGAACAAGCGAACTATTCATCGTGCAACATTCTGCGACAAAGCGGCAGGGTAACATTGTAGCACACATTCTGCAAAGTTCCTCAAAGTGAGCACAAGTCACGCAGGGTTGCTCACAAGTCTGCGAATTGTCTCGAAGTAAATTTCGATACAACAATGCACAATGTTGCGAGCGGGCTGTATACACCTATCACAAAGTTGCAAAACCGCGCGTAATAACGTTCTCGTTTGCCACATTACGCAACAAAGTTCCCCGAGCCCGCCGGCGCGTTCCGAGCTTGCAACAATGTTACAACTAATTCTCCGTCTGGTCCAGAATTGTCCTAAACATCGCATCGACGTTGCATACCAGTAACTAGCACACGTTTGTCCGCAGTTATGTTGATTCTGGCGAGCCAAAGGATAGAGAGCGTGATCGGGAACTGGATGGGTCACGACGTGGTGGAGCACGAGCCAGCACCGACGAAAAGGGGCGCATCGCCGACGATCGTCGAGTGGTGAGGCAATATTTTTAACCAACGTTTCTTTTCACTTGCACACCGCCCGGGGTGCGCGTAGGGACGCGAAAGGAAAACCGGAACAGGCGTGCGTCCGCTGTTACTCTCTCCTCCGAATACTTTCTCGATGCACCGGAAACTCAAGCCGAACAGTTCCCACGCGTGATACCTTCTTCGCTCGAAAACCAAGTAGCGTACAAGTCAAGTAAAACCTACCCCTATCGAACATAAATATTCTATCAGCGACGTCTGATAGAGATACCGCTCGATAACGATTTCTCCCCAACCGACTCGAGTCTTCTCGCGTTATAACGGGGCGCAGACGAACGAGATCTCCGCCCCACGGTTGCCCGGGAACGCGTTTAAGCTTCCGCCTCTGGGGGCGGTGGAGCGAGCGAACGATTTTGCGAGAAACGAAAGGACGTGGCCAAGTGTCGACGACGACGATGTCGCAGGTTCATCCTCGCCTGGGTATCCGGTCTGATTTGGTCCGAAGTGAAGCAGCTGTGGGACGTCGGCCTCGAGGAGTACGTGAACGACATGTGGAACGTGATCGACTTCGTAACGAACTCGTTGTACGTAGCGACTGCCGCTCTAAGGGTGGTCGCTTACTACAGGGTGCAGAAGGAAACGGAGAACCAGGAGCCTGGATCGGTGACCGAGCTGCAGCGCGAACAATGGGACACTTGGGACCCGATGCTCATATCCGAGGGCCTCTTCTCCGCAGCCAATATATTCAGGTCTTTATTAAATTACCTTCCTTTTTCTTCTCTCTGTCTTGAATTGTCCTCGAACGAGAAATTTTGCGAGAGATTTCGACGAATGGAAAAAGTTATTATTTAAGGTATGACTATATTTCTATGTAAAATTGTTTGCATATCGTTTACCTGGAAATATTTTACCTCGAACGGGAAATTTTGCGACAGATTTCGACGAATGACTACATATGACTATTCTTCTGTGTAAGATTGTTTGTGCGTCGGTTCGATTTACTTGGAAGTATTTCGTTCCTTTGAAATACTTTTAAGGGCACGTTTAAGAACGTTCTATTCCGTTACTTGCCAAATACGAATTTTACGCGTGGAAAATTTATGGTTAATGTAATAGAAGATAATCAGCAAATGCTGAGAATCGGGTTTAATGGAGAAATTTTTGTTATTTTATGACCTCCGGTTGGAATAATTACGTTTCCTAGACAGGCAAGGTGCTTGCGTTTACCTCCATAAAGGCAGTATGGAAATTCCAAACTATAAAGTCAAAATTCAGGAATTCCTAGTCGTTCCCACATACAGGGTGTCCAGCGTAACACTTTCCACGATTTTTAAAGCACTCCGATGATCTGACTAAAGTGTTTTAACCCCAGAACGGTCTTCGGGTCTTTCTTGACCCACCGCCTTTTTATATTTTTAGTCATTTTTGCTGTTATCAAGTTTTACGTTCCTTAACATTATTTTAAACGTTTATTGTCTAGGTTCACATGTCGCGTTGGAAACAAAAATTATTACACATAAGGTCTTAGGTCCTTTTTCACCCAAAAGTCTTAACACATTGTTAACCGGTCACGAGTTAACTCGTGTTTGCACTTGCATTAGCTGTTTCAATTTTTGAAACGCAGGGCAATACAGAATATTGCAAAAGCTTTGTTCATCATGTTTAGTCGTGTCCGCTTTATTCTAAAAAAAATACTTTTCTTGGTATTTAGGTTTTCATCACAATTCTACTTGTTCAGTCCTCGTTGGGTATACCTGCCGCCCAACCCTTGGAATTTGTCAACGTGTATTTCTATTGTATATATTTTCGCCTTTGTAGTTAGTCTCGAGAGTCGTTAGTTCGTTTCGTAGCAGCAGTAACTTTATAACACTACGGCAATCGTAGTTTTTCGATTTAAGAATTCGCTTTTCTTTTATATTGACACATTTGTGTCGGATGACGCACATATGCGTCATTCAGGTATTCTGACGCGAAATACGTCATTGAGATTTTCACGTATCTGTCTGAAAGTGAATTTATAAAACGCTGTAAATGATTGAATTTCTTTTCAGAAATGCCGTGACAGATGTTTCACGAATTCTAATAATTGTATACGTTTTACGAAAAAGTAATTTACCACGTTCCTGAAAATTTCTTCGAAAAATAATAATTAGTTGAAAAGTGACGATTGAAAGAAAAGACGCGAAATCACCCCGTGCACATGTTAAGCGCTGCTCTAAGAGCCCCGTCGCCAGTGTGTTAAAAGTTATATAAAAGATACATATGTCCAAAGTTTCATTTCAATTCATTATGTATAAATAAAGTTTATTTAGATTGTTGCACTTCCACATTCAATCACGAAATAATAGCCGGTGACACGAGATAGCTTCTGCGTTAAATTGCCGGTCAACAATGTGTTAAGTGTACAGTCAAAACGAAGACCGCTCTAGGGTTAAACAGAAATTGATCAATCTTCAGTCGACTACAAGCTACAATAAAAAGAATTTCGAAAAAGATTCTTTTTTCAATAAAATGTCAAGGTTACCTTCATTTTCTAAATGGAATTAGATATTTTTTAATTCGCAGCATTGTAGCTCATGTAGCTCACAGTGGGACACCCTGTATATACGACGCAAACATTGCAACAATGTGCATACAACACGGCACGTAAGTTCACATTTTCAGAATGTAGCAGAGTTCCCGTAATTGATGCTACGTTATGTTATATGGTAATTGTTTTACGGTGTAGGTACATACTGTAAGGAAACAACGGTGTTCACAGGCAAGGTTTATCGCCGCAGTAACGAAACGCAGGAGCATCGCCCTTCTGACGATATTGGAAAAATGAAAATTATGAAATTAATGTCGATGAAAGTGCAACTGCTTCTTTTATAACACTTCGAGTAAAATATGCAATGACGAAGTATTTTTAATTTCAACCCTGTGTATTTCAACCCTGATGTTTCTTCGTTCATGGGAAGAAAAGTTACGGTTGATTGCAATTTTATACTTTGTTTCGAGAAGCAAGAATTAATAATTATTATATAAAATTTGCCGGTAATAACGAAGCATTTTTAATTTCAACCTTGATCTTCTTTCGTTCGTGAAAAGAAAAGTTACGGTTGATTGCAATTTTATACTTTGTTTCGAGAAGCAAGAATTAATAATTATTATAAAAAATTTGCCGGTAATAACGAAGCATTTTTAATTTCAACCCTGATTTTTCTTCGTTCGTGAAAAGAAAAGTTACGGTTAATTGCAATTTTACATTTCGTTTGGAGAAGCAAGAATTGATACTTATTGTAAAAAAATTTTCTGGTAATACTGTAAGAGTATAACAATACAGGGTGTCTCAGCTGATTTTGACATCTTGATTTTCTCGCTATTATTACTCAAAGCGAAATATGTTTCAGATGAAAGTGAAACTGTTCCACTCGCGAAAGAATTAATAACACCAGAAGATGCCCCCTTCGACACCGTTTAAATTTCATCTGAAACATTTTCCGCAATGAGAAAATCAAGATGTCGAAATCAGCTGAGACACCCTGTATATACGGTTGATTACAATTTTACATTTTGTTTGGGGAAGCAGAAACTGATAATTATTATAAAAAGTTTGCCAGTAATGCTGTGAGAGTGTAACAATATAGACGGTTGATTGACAAAAATTGACAATTATTAAAAAGCAAAATTTCTGGTAGTAATTGTAACAGTAATACAGTAATATTCAAATAAAACGAGACTTGTAAAATGTAGATAAACGGATACGTATCTTTCGGGTCACACAGCTTTACGGATGGTTGATATTTGCCCGATTCAAAGTAAAACAACAAACATTTTACCCTTACGTATGAAGTATTCATTTTAAATTTTACGCCTTCTGCGTCATGATAATCTGCATTCTCCGTGTTACACAGGAGTCCCTAACGAAAATATCCCGAAAATCGATGATGCACTTCCGTCGAAATTTTTCAAATCCCTCTAAACACATGGATCTGGTTCGAAGTTAATCTTGGAACGCGTGAAATTTCACGGTATAAGGTAAAAACGTAATTACGAATCTCTCGAGCGTTGCTTTAACAGGTTCTTCGCGCGTTGCCCCGTGAATTCACAGGAGAGGTAATTAGGGGCTCCTCTTTCACCAGGAATTTCAATTCCACGCCCTTCAGCCGCATATACGCGATCAAACGTAATGCCACCTGGGCTTTTTTATTTTTTTCGCTTCTTCTCGATCTGCTTGCAGCTCTCTGAAACTCGTCTACATTTTCTCCGTGAACCCGCATCTAGGACCGCTGCAGGTCTCTCTGTCTCGAATGGTGATGGACATCATGAAGTTTTTCTTCCTCTACGTGCTGGTACTCTTCGCGTTCTCCTGTGGTAAATCTCCTCTTGCTTAATTCTTCTCGCCTGCTAGCTAACTCGCCCTGTTAGTTGGAACGAGTAAATCTGACACGATGGAACGACAGGTCTGAACCAGCTGTTATGGTACTACGCGGACATGGAGAAGAAACGGTGTCCGACAGCTATGCCTTATTCATCGAACGCCAGCGTCACCACCGACTCGAACGCTTGCATCGTTTGGAGACGATTCGCGAAGTACGTGATGCTCTTTTCAAATGAATACCGATCGTGTGGGAGATGGTGTAAGACGTGTGACGACGAGAGTTTTCGAGGAAATTGATGGAATTTAGAGGAATCTACGTTACCGGGGAAATGTTTCGAATCACTGTGCGTTGCGAGTTAAAGAAAAGTTTGCGAAACAAAGTTAATTTAAAAATTTTTAATCATATGTACATTTTAAAATTTATGACAATTTTATGTGATACAAATTAATCGAAATGAGATAAAGTGCTGTACGAGTAAAGAATTACAAGGGGCTTAAAATGAGACGTTGGTTCGCTCGTCGATGGCTAGGTACGATAACGTGTGTGCCGCTGCCCTTTCTCCCGTTTTTATACGCTTCTTGGGCCGTTGGGCCCTGCAAGCCGTGGGGTGGGGGTGCAGCCTGCGCTGCTCCTGGGTCTAAGGCCCCCTGCTGTTCGGGACCCGCGGTCGTTGCCTAGGCGCGTCGCACGGCGCCTTACAGGGCTGTTGATCTTTATAGCGTCAATTTTGAATCGATGAAGAATTAGTAGATTTAGTATTGATGGAAATTGACAGGTGATTCGAAACTTTTTGCCGGTAGTGTGTGTGTATTAAACCCCTTAACCTATGATTTTTTTTCTGTTTATGCATTTAACACAGAGAGTGTAAGGCCCAATTTAATGATTTACAAATGATTTGGTTGAAACTTTGTATATTGGTAGATTTGGTCACCTTATTCATGAAAATACAGCATTATAGGGGCAGATACTGGACAGTTTTTCAGATATTTGTAATTGAATTTTCGACATTACAAGAAACTTAGTTTCTGAGCGTCAGCTAATTAGTGTTTCAGTACTGTATCAGGTAATAAAGGCTAATCTGTTACGTTTAAATTATCGCTTAAGTTACGCTAATCTGTTCGTAATTAATTACGTTTAGTAATCCTCAGAGTTACAAACTAAAACGAAAGTTAGGGTTATAATTTCACTTTTTAATTTTTCTTACTAACATAACTATTTTTGTCACTCTTGTCCAGAATCTCAGCCACGAGTCCGACTCTTTGTTATAGGTTGAGGGGTTAAAATAGTATAAAGGCACAATGCTAATAGCTAATTCTTCCACGTATTTTTTACACTGGAGACTTTTTCATCTAGACGTTCTCCCTTTTTTATTTCACCATCCCTTTCGCTCAGTTCAGATAAATCACGCAGACATTTCCAAGACACATTCGGTCACGTCCACCCAAAAGCTTGAGTGGCCATGCACTTCCCTTTCACACCCTAATCTCAAGCACTCGGTCCAAACATTCTCCTCTAGCACTCGAAACTCAGTCACTCGCTATAAAAATTCACCCCAAACTATTCTTTGGACGCGTGAAAATATAAATATTATTCCTTCGAAGCTTGAATTCACGCTAAAATTATTCTCTAGACGCGTGAAAAAATAAGTATTATTCCTTCGGAGCTTGAATTCACGCTAAAATTATTCTCTAGACGCGTGAAAAAATAAGTATTATTCCTTCGGAGCTTGAATTCACGCTAAAATTATTCTCTAGACGCGTGAAAAAATAAATATTATTCCTTCGAAGCTTGGATTCACGCTAAATTTTTTCCACGCCAAAATTATTCTTCGGACGCGTGACAAAATTTTTCTTTCGTGCTTGAATTCACAAAAAATTTTTCCCATATCAAAGTTATTCTTTAGACGCGTGAAAAAATAAGTATTATTCCTTCGGAGCTTGAATTCACGCTAAAATTATTCTCTAGACGCGTGGCAAAGAAAAATGATTTTTTCGGAGCTTGAATTCACACAAAACTGTCTCCACACCAAAACCATCCCTTAAACGCTTGAAAAAGTACACCATAAGTATTGCTTCTTCGGAGCTACAATTTTTCGTTCTTCCAAAAACCCCCAAAAAATATGTCACTCCACTTGTACACATTAAAAAATCTCCGTCAGCCTGTTCGAAACGGCGCAAACGTTGTTCTGGGCTGTGTTCGGCCTGGTGGACCTCGAGAGCTTCGAGCTGGATGGTATCAAAGCGTTCACCAGGTTCTGGGGTATGCTGATGTTCGGCACGTATTCGGTGATCAACATCGTGGTGTTATTGAATCTACTAATCGCCATGATGAACCATTCCTATCAGCTGATCTCTGTAAGTGATTTAGATACACATGTATGCATCCGTGTTAGTATAATTGTTCTCGAGGTACAAATAGAGCAAATTCCATTTCTGATTTCGATCAGGAACGTGCCGACATTGAATGGAAGTTCGCCAGGAGCAAGCTTTGGATCAGTTATTTCGAGGAAGGTGGCACGGTACCACCTCCGTTCAACATCATCCCCACACCGAAGAGCGTATGGTACATGGGCCAGTGGATGTACCGGAAGTTCTGTGGGCACAGTAGAGCTGCCAAGAGGGAGCACATGAGGACCATTAAAGTGAGATTCATTTTCAGTCGAACAATCTTCCCTTTCGGAAGAGAATGAGAAGATATATTTTTGTCCAGTCCTTTCAACCATTTAACGTTCGTTCCCGTGACTCACGTGTACACAGTTAACCGTCCAATAAGTACACTTTTTTTAAATTATTCTTTTCACTTTCCATATGGAGTTATCCTTTCTGCTATGGCAAAGAAGTACGCTACAGTTATTTCTATAGGCCTAGAAAATAGTTCGAAGAAAGAGCGAAAATGTGAGCGTTAAGGGGTTAACGAAC